CAGAAGTCCCCCCGCATGCGGGTTGACTTCAGGCACGTATAGAGGAGATTATGTATCCATACCATGATATATCGTTTTAAAGTCATGATATATTTTAAATGCACTTTGGTATTTATCCAAATTGCATTTAAAATATATGACCTTAAAACGATACATCATGGCACATCAAAATAATCAGCGCGATTGTCATTAAATCCATCGTTATCGAGGTTATATGTACTCAGGTTATATGTATTATCGTTAAAAAACTTGATTTGACTTTTCTTAAAATTAGTTGTTACATCAACATTTATTAAATCAATATTCTGATGTTTAGGATGGAATGCAAGAAGCGAACTTGAGTCAAGCTCGACTTGAACTTTACATTGCAACCAATAGCAACAGAGTATGGGTTTTCCCCTCAAAAAATACTCTGCCACTATTGGTTACAGAGTAAAGTTCAAGTCGAATTTGACTCAAGTTTGCTTCTTGCATTCCACCCATAGTCTTTTTGATATTGTCGAAAAGTCTTGATTTGCTAACACCTTGTTTAGTAGCATGCTCAAACTACTTATATGGACATCTTTTACGTCTTCCCTTAACTTTTCAGTTGAGAATGTCCATTTGGTTTTACTCTTAAGTTTCTGGTCATCTTTTGATTAGCTGTGATAAAAGAACAACAAAACTTTAAAACTTGTTAAAAGTGTTCAACTCTTTTTCGTTTATTTTAGTAACTACTACTTTTTAGTTTAGCGCTACTAGCGGTACGGCTTTTATATACATTCACTCAAGAATTGTTTTCGTGAAGAATTTATCTAAAAAGCATTTATGGTGATGCAATCGTTCATGATTGTGCAAATAAAAATTTGCAAAACTTTAATAATTGTCCATAGGGAGATGTTATTACGCAATCATTACAAAAGCATCGGACAGTTAGACTTTATAGAATGGTTAAAGTGTACGAAGTCTCCCCGCATTTTATTAAAAAAATTTAGGGGAATCGCTACAAAATCATTTATAGATCACAAATACTTACATTCGCAAACATTCGCAGGTTTCATTCATTTGCTCTAAAAAAAAACTCTGGAAGAGCTTATAACTAGGATCTGAATGATTCACTTGGAATTAAAATTTTTACATCTAAAAACTCTAAAATTGTTTTTTCAATCTAAAATCTATTTTTTAGCGGAAAACTGTCGCCTAATAATTTAAAAGCTAAGAGCGCATGTCTACCAACATATTAACCTTAGACAGCATAGCCCTAATGTTAACAGGGTAGGGGATTTCGTCTATTGTCACCCCGTGTCTGAAGTCTGCCCGGTCTCACCTAATATTGTGTATTAATATATAATATTCAGTGCATTATTAATAAATAATATTTAGTGCATTATTACAGACACGCTTTGCAGATGCGTCTTGTAATAAAGAAAAATATTTAATTTGTTATAGAAAATATAAAAAGGAAAAATAGAACTATATATATAGAACCAGCAAAATAACGGTTCCCAGACAGCAAGTATATACTGGTCCGATAATGGCTAGCCAATGCCAGCGAATTCTTTAAAGGCCCGATAAAGTTCCGTTCTTGTATGGCCAGTTCTGGCAAGCCGTTACAGGGCCATTGTCGAGCTTTTATAAAATTGCCTAAGCTGGGTAGCCGCAAAAAAACCAGTAATGGTCTAACAAAGATTTGCCGAAGCAGAACAACAGACATTGGGTCGATACTTGCCCATCAGTGGTAAAATCAAATGAATAATGATATAAACAATAGCATTTGCGTTTAAAGAAAAATTTTAAAAATTGCAAATATTTCTTAGCATTTGTACAATAATTTCTTAAAACTTTATTGTTTAAATTGATTCTATTTTGCGTGCATAATAATTTCTAAATAAATTTTAAAAATTAATATTTATAAACGGAAATTTATGTTTTTCAAATAATTTCTAAATAAATTATTGCAACTAATTCTTTTGTTCAATAAATAAAGTTTCGTATGGTATGTGTTGTTAAACTACAAATAACATAATGATCATGATGTATTAAGATTGTTTACATCAAACATAAAGCATTAAATTGGTTTAATGTTTAAATTCATTTTTTTTCACCAAGCCAATATTAGTTTAAAAAACTTAAAACCTAAGTTGGTTAAAGAATTATAAAACCTAATTTATGGTAACTGAAGATTGATTGGTATTGACAAAAAAAAAACTGATTGAAATGTAGGTTTGATAGAAAAGGAAATTGATAAAATGTACGTATATTATTGCGAAGAGTATTTTATTATCTTTTTGTTGTCATATTTATAACTTTTCTGTAATAAAATTTGAGTGTTATTAACACAGTTATCTTTTATATTCTTATCGTTTAACAGGAATAATATAAACATAACATTTTCTTTATAAATATATTATAAGAATGTTATTGTGTTATGCAAAGTTGTTGTAGTAAAAAAATAGATACCTAAGTATTACTAACATATGAAGCACTAGATAGGAAAGTTACCAAATCTATATATTTAAATTTGAACATATAAGTGTTAGCAAAATAGTTTGAAGAATTCGTTGTTTACTTTATTATTATTATTTCTTTCTTGAAGTTTAATCAATATTTAATATTTTTTTCAAATAAATTTGCTAATTTGATTACTTATAAATACAATAAATAAATAAATAACCAACAAAGTTGTGATACACATTATTAGTGTATAGTCTAACAAAAGTAGATGGCAGATTTTAAAAGCTTTTCACAGTTTTCTATATATTTATTGTAGAGTGTTAAAAATATAACTAAGTTTTTCGTTTTTACAACTTCTAGTTATAAATGGTTTTATTTCTCGGCTATTCTATTTATGAAAAAATATTCACCGTTTAATTTTTTGGATTATAGTTAATATTTCATTTATTGTTGTCTTTTGTAATAGAATTTTTTATAAATATTGGAGCATTATGCCAATTTATTACATCATTAAGTCATTAATAGTTCTGTATAGTTATATCACATTACCTCTTGATCTTCTAATTTTTAATGTGGAGAAAAAGGTTTATCAGTTTTTACATGATAAATCTTTTAAACTCTAAACACGAATTGCTTTATGTTGGAGTTGTTTAATCATAATAACATGTTTATGTATATGTTATCTCCTTAATGTTATGTTATGTAAACTCCTTAATGGGGTTCAATATTTAAGGTGAGGTTTAAATAGTTATATACTATTAATGTTATATTTCTTTTATCTAATAATTTCAAGAAGTGTTTAATTTGCCCTGATGTCAAACTTCCAAAGTCATTTTTTCTTTATAATTTCATTTTTAAAACACTTTTATTAAAAGTTATAAAGAATTGCCAATTGAAGCAAATATTAATGAAACTATGGCAATAAACGTAATGTTGACGCAAAAATGCCAAATCTTAAGTTAAATGGTTCATCTAAATCTGGTAAGTTTATACTTTATCAAATAAGTTATTAATATTTCTGTTTTCAGTGTTTAAATGAAGGAAAACTTTTTTCCCTTATTTTTAATATTACTAATGACTAGATTTACTGTGTTTTATAAAATAGTTTCTGTATATAAAAATATTTAGGAAGATTGAGAGACATTTTAATTTTCATTTTTAATTTTTTAATTTTTTTTTTTTTGTTTATTCAAAATAACTTTTACAATGAAAGAATGAATAAAATACATACAATAAGAGTTACAAATTTTGTTGACTTTACAATAAGAACGCAGATACTCACAGAAGGTCATTAGATCTTGTCGTGGAGAACCGCCTTAACAGATTTTTAATAAAAAAAATGTCTAAGATGCTTTAAATTGTAATTATACTGTGGGAACATTTTAAAGTTATCTATTTTTAATAAAATAATAAATTGCGTTATGTTTGTTTTTATTTTATTAAAGTTAAAACGGATGCAAGCACTAAAGAAGACAATAACGTTACAAATTGAAACAGAAGTTTATAACGAATCATGCTGACGATTAGATACGAATCACAGAAAAGCACCATTGTCGAATGATTATGAATCAAATCTTTGTATTATAATTGCGTTAATATATTAAAAAATTTAAGCTTGTTTTTCAAATTTATCCACAATAATTGAAATTGTCAATAATCATGAGTTTAATACATTTTATTTTCCTAAACCTAATGAAAAATACGCCAATTTTAAACCAATAAATTACAGTCGATTATGCTAAAAATAACTTTAAATAATTAAGAAGACAGGGTTTAATAGGAAAATATAGGGACTTCAAATAGGATTGCCCGATGAAAATCCATAAAAATCCCATGCGCGACCCATTTAGTTAACAAAGACAAACGCACAATATGGTACAGTAAAATACGAATGTGAAATATGTATATAAAAAAGGCTAACCGTTGTTCTGCCAGTTCTTGTCCCGCACTGGCTAGCCGCAGATGAGCATTTAATCAGAATTTTACGCCTCCTTTCAAACCGATGACGCAATACATGTCTAGAGGTGGGGTTTGAACTACGGATACTTTGTTTCTGAGTCAAGTGCGCTACAACTGCGCCACAACTGTTGTTCAATGCTAATTCAATAAAAATCGGCTGATTTAATAACTAACATGCTTAGAACAGAAAACTTCAGTTGTCTGAACTAAGGCGCAGGACCGATTAATTGGTCCTCCGCCGTAGTTTGTGTTTAAATGTCCGTAGTTTGTCTTTAAATTTTTTTTAATGTGCTTAAAGATCTCTTTTAATTTGCTACGCTAACAGGTAATGTCAAATATAGCATAAGGGCAGAAATTTATATTAAAAATTCAAAAAAGTTTTTTTTTTTTTTTTTTGATAATAAAAACAGTATTACATATTTTGTAAAAAAATTGTTTAAAAAATTATCGTTAGTATTGTTAAAAGAACTTCAACATTTTTATAAAATACTTATCACATTTTTTGAGATTTTTTAAACTTTTTCTGCTCATTTTTGTATAAAGAATGGTTAAAGCGAAACTTTTTAAGGATTGGAAACATCTTTTGCTAGAGCTATGAAAAAAAAGAGGTTGGTTATAAAATTTTTTGTAAATAAACTAGTTTTTATTTGTATGTTTTAAAAAAGTTGCTTTATTTTGTTTGATAGATACTTTTTTACTACTTTTTTTATCTTTCTTATGAATTTTTTTCCCTGCGTTTTCTTGAAATAGAGGTAAACATTTAGCTAATGTTTAATATTAAAATTATATGCTGTTTGTATATTAACATAAGCAAAATTTTATAGATACCACAAAAATTTCAGTTTGATACATGCTAATTAATTAAGAATTTCAACAGAGAAAACTCCTTTATAATGTTATATACTTCTCTATAAGTTTCAACGTGTAAATTAAAATCTGATATTTATTTTTTCTAAATTAAAACATTTTTGCTTTGCATTGATAGCTGGCTAGTCATCAAAAAAATATTTGCATAAACTAAATTTTAGTTTCGTTTAAAGTCTAGGTTGTTTTTTAAATTAACTCGGACACTTTTTAAATTAACTCGGACACTTTTTAAATTAACTCGGACACTTTGTTGTTTCGGTAGTTATTGACATTTAATTTTAATGTATTAGGGATTCTTCAGAAATTACATAATGCAACATTTTAATAAACAAAAACAGAAAAAAGTATTAAACTTTTTTGAAGTAATAGCTATTTGGATGGCACCATTGCTTATTGTTTAAAAATTAAATTGTCGCAGATAGTTTAATTTTCCAGTTATTTCAGAAATATTAAAATATAATTATATTTTTATTTCATGTTATTGTTAAATAAAAGAAACTGATGTTACGTGTTTAAAATATTGCGAAATCAGGGATTATATACCTTTATGTTGATGTTCAAATATGAAAAATTTAATTTATGATAATGATAAATTTAAATAATGTGCATTGAGATATGCATTGGAATCAGAAGCTACTTATGGTATACCGTAAACTATTGTAGCTGGAGACCATGTCAAACTAAAGAAATATGTTTTATATTTAAAAGAGTCTTAGATTTCGAAATAGCATTTTAAAATGTATATTTGATTTCAACAATAGCTGTTTATAAGTTAGTAAATCAAAAACCTATATCTCTTTAAAAGGATCAAATGCTATTTATGGAGAGTTTACTTCCAGTACGAGAGTTGCATACACAGAATTGAGTATAAAACAGGTATTAAAAACCTGGCTAGTGTCAATCAGAAACAACCTTAGCTTTGGATTTGATTGCAGCAACACCAAAAAACTTTTGAATTAAATAAATGTTTTTGCTTGTGATATTTCTGATCATAAAAATTTTTTTTAGCAAGCTAAATATGGATAAAAATTAAATGCTGATTTTGACATCAGAAATTGGTTATTAAGACGCTTTATGTAAATTTAATAAAAAGGTGTTAAAACTGTTATTATAATGTATGTGTTGATTTTCAAAGTATTTTTTATAACCTAAATTATAGTATTTATAAAGTAATGATAAAATAAAACATTGTCTATTTTAAAGCTCAGTAGGATGTTGTTATGGGAATTGCATATAACTGTTTTTAATACTAAATGGATTTAGTGCCAACTTTCTGTAGTTTTTAGACCAACATTTTTTACGTAATCCATTTAAGAAAATTTATGTCCAAATATTTAATTCCTTTTTAATATAACAGCGCACATAAATACATAGTTAAATTAGGTTATGTAATAAAAAATACTTTTTTGATATTAAAATTATATGAAATATATTTAATATCATTTTAAAACGTACCATCTCTCCTCTATTATCTAAAAGCGTTTAAAAAAAAAAATGCTAACATGAGCCAATTAGCAGCATAATATGCGTTGAAAAGTTTATCTTTTTTAAGAGAAACTTTCCTTTACAAAATAATTTAAAATTCAGAAGTTCTGTAAACTTAAGAATAAATGTTGATTTAATATATAACACTATCACCAAAATATTAAAATTAGACATTGTTTTGGATATACTAAGCAGCCGAGGCGCAGTGGTAGCGCACTTGTTTCAGAAACGTAAGATCAGTGGTTCAAACCCTACCTCTGGACAAGTTTTGCGGCATCGGTTTGAAAGGAGGCGTGAACTTCCTATTAAATGCTCTTCCGCGGTGCTCTGTGATAAGACCGTAAGGACTTCTTGGGGCACCTAAATCAACATAAAAAAATATATATACAGTATCGGACAAAACAAGTGCAACCAAATAATGTTAATTTAGTTTCTTTATATAAAAGTGCTGCATTTTTTCAATTTAGAGAAATAACTATGTAACTGTTTAGATACAACGTTCTTCAAGTTTTATTGACCACAAAGTTTATTATTTGTACCCGAAAATTAATCAATTGTTTAAAAGTATTAAAAAAAGTTGATTTCCTTCTGGACAAAACAAGTGCAACTTCACAAAATATTGACCAAGCTGTATTTCGCTATCAACATTTTGTGGCGAATCCTTTGTTATTGATCACAGCCTTGCATTTTTGAGGCACAGATTCGATCAGATGATCAATGAAACTTTGTGGAATCGCTGCCAAGACCTTTTGAATTTGTTGAAACAGTTGATCCTTATTACGAACACCTTCACGATTAATTCTGCGGTTGACGATCTCCCACAGGTTCTCCATAGGGTTGAGATCCGGAGATCGAGGCGGCCAATCCATCACCGATAGGTGGTTGTCTTGAAACCACTGCTTATCTACTTTTGCAGTGTGTTTCAGACCGTTGTCTTGCTGAAAAACCCATTTTATTGGCGTATTTCATTCAGCATGAGGTAACATAACTTCTTTCAGTTTTTTTAATGCACAAAACGGTCCATTTTTTCATCGATTCGATGTATTGGACCTAGACCTTTAGCTAAAAAAACACCCCCAGACCATTACATTGCCTCCACCATGCTTCACCGTCTTATGGCAGTACCGTAAATCGAGGCGTTTTGCGGCCGGTTGACGTACACGGTAAATGCCATCGCTCCCAGTGATGTTGAACTTCGGTTCATCACTGAACAGGACAGTTCGCCATTTCTGCACATTCCAGTCAATATGAGATGTAGCAAACAGAGGTCTTTTCTTCTGGTTCTTTAGTGAAATCAGCGGTTTCTTTGTAGGGCGTCGAGAAAACAACTCGGCTTTAACAGCGCGTCGTCTGATTATTCGGTCCGACACAGGCAGCTCTAATTGCTTTTGTATTTCGACTGATAATATCCAGGGATACTTCTTGATGGATCTAAAGATCATAGAATCCTCTCTAGAAGTGGTGGAACGCGGTCTTCCACCTTTGTTATCTGCTGTTAACTTCCCCGTAGAATGATATTTGGAACATAGTCTTGATACGGTCTATTTTTTCACGCGATATTTATCACAAATACTTTTTTGTGACATTCCACTTACGTAATCGTCAATAACTTTCATTTTTAGTTCCAATCCAAGACTGTCGGGAGCCATTTTTGCACTTGAAGTCATAAAAATAATAAAAATAAATAATCACTCTTCTCAAGGCTTATCGTGTTACATTTACCTTATGATGATACAATAATGCTCTGTGGAACACAACGTCTGGATACTTTCTTTAATTATTGAAAAACTTCCGTGACGTTGAAACGGACCAGACTTAAGAAAATGAAACAACCCAAAAAAGTTGCGCTTGTTTTGTCTTCTGCAAAATGGCACTTGTCAACGAAATTCTGCCTGTGTGCTGTCACTTGTCAGCTGATTGCTCATGTCATCACATGCTATGACTTCAGACTCCTGAACTGTTTGCTGTGGTAGTCTAGTTCTTTTCGTTTTTAAGACATGTAAAATTAGAAACACTTTTTAGCATTGTTTGATGTTAGTTGCAAATGTTTTGTCCAACACTGTATATAAATCTATTTTAGATATTTAGTATTTAGTTTTTGTTACAAAAATATTTTGAAAAGCAAAAGTTATTTTTTAAATGTAAACCTCTTTACAATTTTAATCATTGCTGAGTTTTTATAAAATTGATTTCTCCTAATCTAAATTTAAATCCAACCTTAACTTAGAAAACCATTTACAGAATTGTTTGAGATAAAATTTTGTTTTAAATGTAATAATATTTACAGGGTTAAAAATATTATTTTCCGTTTTTTATTTGAAAATTTTATTTTCAAAAACTCACTTAAAGATGTTTCTTTGTTATCTTGAATTCCAACACATTAATTGGAATTTAAAAGTTTATTGGATTTCATTTCTAAAAGTGTGGGTTCTTTTTGTTTTGTATCAAAATTTTAAATTTTATATCTGAGTACAGCATAGTTTCTGGATATCGGTAACAAAAGAGTGATAAACTAGAAGATATTTCAGTCGTGATAAAATCTGACGTTGTTTTATTGTCTAAAAACAAAGAAACGTGTTTAGTTTATTTTGTTGAATACAATTTGCTATTTTTTGGATTTTAAATAAGGAGTTTACATAGTTCTTCCTGTACTTAGAAACATTTAACAATGATTTTTTGGCTGGCTTTAGAAGCAAGAGAATCAGGGTTTGAAGCGAGCTCTGGGTATATTTTGCGTTATTGCTAGGGAAAGAGGCGCAAACTTTCTAGTTAAATTTTTAAAAGTATTATTGAGACACCTTAAAAATAAGTAAAAATATGAAAAAACAAGCGCTTAAACCACTGAGCTAAAACGCTTGCTTTTAAAGCAAAAGGTTTAGGTTCAATGCGAGCTCTAGGCATATTTTGTCATTACCCATGACGAAGTTCACGCCTCTTTTAAAATGCTGTATTAAGATCGTTATTTCTACTTGGGCAGATGTTCTCCAGACAACGTGTGCCTGCTGGGTAGTAGGTTTATAAGGTTTTATCTACTACCAATTTTTTTTACTTTAAACCTTATGTTCTTTTTTAAATTTACACATTTTTTACAATTTTACACTCAATGACATACTGCACTAATCTAGCTATAATCATGTCATTTTGTCTCAATATTATTTTAATAAAAACTCTCTTATCTTTTTCTAAAACCAGATATCTTTTACCGTGCTGCAAATTTTAAAAGGCTTTAGTTTTTAATGTTTATTCTGCAATTTAT